CCCCCCGGCCCCCCGCCCTCCTTCCCAAAGAGGGGCCTTTTCAAGTGCAAAGCCGTGGGGTTTAATCCTCCTTCGCCTCTCCCATGGGCTGGACCTGGAGCAGCATCGCCTACACACACATCGCAATGGGGGAACCCCCACCAGAAGCACCGAGAGTTGCTCAGCCCCTTCTCCCCATTTCATGGGGCTCCGAAGTTTAAGGAGCCCATTTCTGGGAGCCAGGGCACATCCTGGCTCTGTTTCACCGCGGTGGCAGTGGGGTGGATGCCACGTACCGGTGGGGCACTCGCAGTGGAACTCATTGATCTTGTCGAGGCAGTTGCCGTTGTGCAGACAGGGGCGGCTGGTGCGCTCGTCCGTGTTGATCTCACAGTAAACCCCCTCGTAACCTGTGGAGAGACCGGGAGCATCGTCAGCACCATGCACGGGGCTGGCACAATGCACAGGATGGGCAGGTCACACCAGTGTGCATTTGGTTCCTCCATCTCTACAAAGATGTGCTACAGGTGGTGGGACCTGATGCACAACCTGCTTCATGGCTGTCCATCCTGGACCTCCCTGCTCTTGGCTTGATCCAAGCCAGCAAGGTCAGAAGAGGAGGAGTCCAGAGCAAGGCTGATGGTGCCCAACTCTCGCTTCCTGTCCCCACACTGCTCCGGAAGATCCCGCAATCTTTACCAAGCTTCTTTTTGTTGTTGTCCCCAGACACATGCACCTCCTGTGGCTCCTCACCCAAACCAGCACCAAGCTGGAGCTCAGGGGCACCTAGAGTCCTCCTGTCACCCACACCAGCACCGGGGTCCATGGGGCTGTGCACCCACCGGGCATGCAGATGCACTGGAATTCCCCGATCTGGTCCAGGCAGGTGGCATCGTTCTGGCAGGGGTTGGAGAGGCACTCATTGACATCGATCTCACAGCGAGGGCCCGAGTAGCCCTGCAAGCACTGGCACTGGAAGGACCCCTGGGTGTTGATGCATTTCCCTGCGTGCTCACAAGGGTTGGCTCCTGCAACACACAAATGGGGCTCACAGGACACGGTCCTGGTGGCACCGGTGCTTTCCCAACCACATCTCTGCCTCCTGCTCAGTGCTCACCCAGCGAACACTCGTCCACGTCCTGGTTGCAGGCCGGCCCCATGTACCCCGAAGGGCACGTGCAGATGGCTTTGCCATTGACGGGGTTGGTGTCACAGTTGGAGCCCTCGTTGCAGGGGTTGCTGATGCAGGCATCATCGAGGTGGCACAGCAAACCTGGGCAGCAAGAGGCACGTCAATGGTGATGGGCACAGAAGTCACCATGCACCAAGACCTCAAGCTAGGAGCCGGGGGACATGCAGGAAGCTGCCACCCTGCACTGTGAGCAGGGGACAGGATAAGACATGGCCTCACCCGTGCGGCCATGGGGGCACTCGCAGTAGAAGGAGGCGACACGGTCATGGCACGTGGCCCCGTGGAAGCAGGCGGCCATGGCGCAGTCGTCGATGTTCTCGCTGCAGTCCTCGCCCGTCCAGCCATTGACACACACGCAGTTGTAGCCACCATGGTTGTTGTGGCAAGTGCCCCCATTCTGGCAGGCGTTGGGCATCAACTGGCACTCGTCCACGTCCTCGGTGCAGTACTGACCTGCAGGGGACAGGGCACCTGTATGAGGCTCCTGCAGGCTCTGTGAGCATCGCTGTGAAGTGGGATGGTTCTGCCAACACAATCCCCGTCATCCCCTGGCGCAGGATCCATCCACCAGCCCAGCCCTGTGCCACCCTCGCTGCTGACGGTGGTGTTACCTGTCCACTCGGGCGGGCACTGGCAGTTGTAGGTGTTCACACCATCCACGCAGGTACCCCCATTCTTGCAGTTGTTGCCTGGACAGTCATTGATGTTCTCCTCACAGTTCTGGCCCGTGAACCCTGTGCAGAGGAGACATCTGCCATGATGCCAACCAACCAACTGGCCACTGCCTCAGCTCCCCAGTGTACCCCTGCTGGTGCAGGTTGCTCGTCATTGGGTGCTGAGTCAGCACCAGGTGCTCCCAGCCCAGCTTTGAAGCCATCGGCTCGGGTTAACAAACTGATTCACCCCCAGGTGCCCCCAGCCCGGTTTTGAAGCCATCGGCTCGGTTTCACCCCCAGCCCCATCCCGCCAATGCCAGGGCTTGGTTCTGCCGTGCCGGTTTCCCTGCCAGGGCACCACCACCAGAGCCTGGCACACAGCGACGGCTTCCCCGTGCAGAGCAGACGGGGCTCCCCTGCCAAAGCCCCCGGCTCCACAGACGCTCGCCCCGAGCGGTGGAGGATCCAGCTCCACAACAACCGGGATGAACCGGGGCTGCTCCCACACAGGCTTGTGGCACCCACTGCGTTTAATTCCACATGTGAGGAGCCTCAGCAGCAGCGCTGTCCCCGAAGGAGATCCACGTCCCTGGTGGGTGCACACACACACACTGCACCTGCCTCTAACGGTGAGCTTGGGTTTATGTTATCGCCTCCACCCGATGGTGTGACACAACGGAAACCACCCTGATCCCAATGGCATCTGCAGCAGAAATGACACAGCCAGGCCCTTCCCAGGGCATCTGCCGAGTCACCCTGTCCCCCTCCAACTGCCACCTGGGGTAAAAGCTGTGTTTACTCTAAGACCCCCAACACCCCCAACCATCAGCCCGCCCAGGGTTGGGGTGCAGTGCCAGCCCCTGGCAGGTCCCTGCGGTGCCAGCGTGTATCTGCAGCTCCCCAAACTCCCCGAGGTGTTCTGCAGGTCCAGACCTGGCTGCTTGCTATGCCACCTCTGCCTCCGCGGGAAGGAACTGGTGCCCTGGCTCATCCTTTATGGGACCACAGACCCTGCCCCAGCTGGGTTTTCCCCCTCACTCTCTCCAAAGGGCCACGTTTTCCTCTCCCTGTGACCCATCACATGAGGAGCAGCAGCTCTTCGTGTTGCTGCTCTTATTTACGATGGCTGGTAGGAATCCAAAGCAGATAACGTTGATTTGTGCCTCATTTTTAAGCAGCTGGGCTGAGAGTGAACAGCAATAACTGGCAATGTCCTAGATACAAGGCTTAACTCATTTTGAACCATGTGAATGAGTAATTAGCACTGCAATTACTTTAAACTCAGGGTTACGTTCTACAGCGATGGCATGATAAAACAGCCGAGATTGGTTTAACTTGAAGAAACCCGGCACGGCACGGCCTGCTCGGGAATGAAAAGGGGACATTGTTCCAGGTCTGCTGCGCTGCATACCAGCGTATCAATCATCCTCTTATCAACAGAAACAGCCCCCATGGTCCCTCCTGCCTGCACCCAAAGCCGATGCAGCTCCTGCAGCGAGCCACGCGGATGGCGGAGGGATCCCCCGTCCTGCTGGAGCATCCCACGGGAGCCGAACCCGCTTGCGCAGCATGCAAATGTCCTGGAAGCAGCCCACGGAGCCGCAGATGGGTGTGCAAGCAGCAGGGCTGCCCCCCAGGGCCATGCCTCACCCTGACGTGCCCGATGCTTGGGCTGCTCTAAGGAAAGTGCCTCATCAGCAGAACAGCAGGGCAGGGCCAGCGCCGCTCCTCCTGCCCCTCCGCCTGCTCATCCCTGCGGCAATGCTGCTCCGCCGGGATAGGGCTTGGAGCTGCTCCCATGGAGCATCATCCCTGGGAGCTCCCGGCTGCACCGGCTCATCCGGGAAGGGAAGGCTTCCTTCCCGGCACTGCTCGGCCGGTCAACCTGTGCCAGCGTCTCATCCTCTTCATGGCAAGAACTTCTGCCTCAGAGCTCATCTCAATCTCCCCTCTGGCAGGTTAAAGCCATTCCCCTTCTCCTGTCCCTACAGGCCCTTGCCAAAAGCCTCTCTCCAGATTTCTTGTTGGCCCCTTTAGGTATCAAAGCAACCACAGAGACCTGTCAGCCAGCTTCATGCTGCCCACAGCTTCCTTCAAGGGAGAAGGTGGATGCAGCCTCTCCGCCAGAGTCGGCCAGCGTGGTGGCTGGGGTGAGAAACGGCAGTTTGTGCCCTGGCAAACACAGCGGGGTCTGAGCATGGGGCTGTTCATCCCACCCACCGGCAGGAAACTCCACTGCTTCATCTCACCAGCGCTGTGGGGCGACGAGGC